CCACTTAGAAGCATTTCTTTTCTTTTCAATTCTGGAATCACAGCCTACTAATTTTGATGAATATAAGTCATTGACAAAGAATAAGATAAAACTGCAAAGTTAATTTTATTTCCGGAAAAGTTTTGCCACCTTTTTTTCAATTCGCAGATTCATTAAAACCAAAAAGTGTACCGTGATTTTATTTTGTTTTTTATTTTGTGATTTTTTGTGAGAAAATATCACATAACGACTATAAATTTTTTATGCGAAAAAAAGTTCACAAAATAAATTTGCAAAAAAAAAAAAAAAGATTGAAATTTGATCTTTTACATATACCCAGTGTACAGGTTTTTTCATGCTGAGTACTATAAGAAGAAACTAGAAAAATATACGGTTAAACAATTTTCTGTAACCAGAAAACAACTATTATCAAATAAGTTGAAGTATTTACAACTTTAGTTGATGCGATTGTTATGCTGTTTTCTCAAGCGTCTTTTGACATCTTTTTCTTAGAGGATACTGTATATTCAAAAATCAATGAAGTATCATAATTCTGGTGCTTCTAAAGAATAAGCAAAGCCAAAAAATTAGTGCTTATTTTTGAGAATCACTTCTCTGAGAGCTACTACAAAGTTTGCAGAAGATGATGCTCTTCTGCTGTACTAATCGTTCGTAACAAATGAAGCAAGATGAAGGAAATTGAGTTCTATGATACAAGCATAGCAGGGAGGTATATGAAGGGTTTCAAGAGGTGATAAAAATTTTTGTTAACAGAAAGTTTGAACGATCACCTTAACAGTGCGCGCGCCTATTTGTGGTAGAGATATAAGCTGATATGTCATTATTACAAAACTGATAAATGATTTTTTTCTGTGATAATATTTATACCGATACTCAAATTCTGCTTCTATTATTAATACTTGTTGGTGCTATAAGACCTGGTTTTGCTACCTACATAATAAGGTGGTCGATATTTGCTAGATGTTTCCGTCACTTTTAAATGGTTGTGCAATATTCTTCTTTTGTTAGTATAGCAAGTCTGTGTTACTTCTGTGCATTTCTGAGACACTAAAGGAACTGTTTAAAGCCATCTGCCACAAAGCTCCTACTGTTTGTTCATATTATTCACCTCAATCTGCATAGCTTGTTGTCATTTTAGGATTGGTTAATTTTTATTTTCGAACTCAATGTGTCAACTACTGTACTCCTCCATTTTGATATAAAAAGAATTTTTAGTTTCACAACTACATTCTGTCAAATAGGTGTCAGGTGTTTAAGAAAATAACATAAAATTAATTTCTTTTTTAAGAAAGACCAACAGAAATGAATCTGAAGCTAGTAAAAGATAGGTAGGTCTTAATAGGAAAAAAGGCTTGAGAATCAGATTATTATATATGTTATAAGCTACTTATTGCTAAAAAACTATAAAGCAAAATGATTTCTTGAAAAAATCTGTCCAAAAAAGTTTTTACAAATCAGATTTTGGTAGGCTTGTTCTTTATCTAGTTTAGTTTACAGTACTTAATTGGTAAAATCTGAAACTTCTTGAGAGAATTGACGAAACCAACAATTGACGGTACAAGAATATGAAACATCGAAAAGTAATCGTTAAGATAAAGAGCAATGTTAAATTATCATATTTAACCAAAAATACGATATCATACCATTGTTATAAACAACGAAAAACGTTATGCAAATTTTATGACATAACTTCTAAAGAAATATTAATTTTGAGGTCATGATTTATTTTAACCTCATTAGTGTACAATAACTTTTATCTAAAAATAGCTAAACCGCTGCAATGTTGGTATATATCAAAAGTTCAAAACAGATCGTGAAATGTAACCGTAATTAGAGTAAGATATTTTCACACGAGAATGCATTAAAGTTTATATTTGTTTACAGCAACTTTTACTAATCACTTAAGTCATGAGTCGATAAAAAGTTTCACTGTTATAAACTTTAAACGACCTTTTCAGCATAACATTGAACTACTGTGCTGAATGTCAATATTTCAACCTGCTTACCGGTCTTGTTTTTCCAGTTTATCTCTTAAGTATTAATGGCAGAGAACACTTCGTACGTGTCAATTCTTCTATCATCTCAATATTTCATCAGTATAATTAACATATCGATGTTAAGCTGTAAAAGCTGCGTTTTCTAAGTGACATGAAATACAACAGTATCAGTGCCGACTAGAAGTGTCTTAAGATCTATAATATGGGTGTCTGTTGATCGATAACCAATAACATCTGTATGATTGATCTTTGAATATCTTGTTGGAAATTTTCTACAATATATTTCAGGCTTATTTATCTAATTATTTCTTTCTTTCTTTTTTTTTTTTTTTCCAGTGACATACTTACACTGTATTGAAGGGCTGTAATACAATTGTGAACCCTTACCACTTGTGCATGTGTGACTGTGTGATTTTCGCTCAAATAATACTGTGTCCGGTATTCGACAATAAGCTATTCGTTGATCTTTAGAATTTGCAATTAGTCTAACAAATGCT